TCGCAGCCAACTCAGTCTTTGCCGACCAGAAGCTTTTCCGAGAGCACTCTTTTGATCAAGATCCCTCGAGGCCAGTCCACAGGAGTTGGTGACCGGGAGCGTTTCCGAGCCATCCCCACTCCCTGTGGGAGTGGCCCTCGAGGCCAGGCCACGGGCCGTGGTGCCCCGGAGCTTTTCCGAGGAGTCACCCGTGCCTGTGGCAGTGGCCCTTGAGGCCATTTGTTGAGAGTTTGCCACCAGGGGCTTTCCCAAGCCATCAGCAGTCCCTGTGGCAGGAGCCCCTGAGGCCACTGAGTGACCCTTGGCCACCAGGGGTTTTTCCCAGGCATCTCTCCCGCAGCTGCCCTCGAGGCCAGGCTGTGCCATGGCGGGGGGATGCTTCGGCCTGTGCGGGCTGCTCCGGAGGAAGAGGAAGAACAGGAGAGGCCCTGGAGCTGACCCAGCACAGGAACCTGAGGAAGACGAGCAGCACTTCCAGCCACTGCAGCAGGGTGAGTGCTGCAGCTGCCCACAGGGATGGGGCTGCAGGAGCTGGGCCCCTTCCCGTCCCCTCTGGACACGGCCAGGGAAAGGGAGGGGGAAGAGGGGCCAAGGCTGATCCCCCCGGCGTCCGTGCTCCATCCCTGGGCATCCCAGGGCTGGCCCTGCCTGTGGAGCGCAGGGCTGGGCTGTGTTCTCGGGCCTCTCCTGCAGCCCCTCAGCTCTGACTGCGCTCGCTCTTTGCCAGATCCAGGCCGGGACCGCCCAGCAGAGCAGGACCGCACCCGTGGCCGCTTCCGCAGGGCAGTTCAGGTACCTGCAGCCATCCCCCCTGGGCTGGGCCTGCTGTCCCTGCTCCGCCTGGCACCGCTGTCACAGCACTCCATGCCACTTCCCTCCCTTCCCTGCCCGTTCTTCTCCTGCAGAGGTTGCTGAAATTCGTGGGAGTTCGGCGCGGAACAGCCACGACTGCACCGCCCGAGCTCGTGGCACAGCCTGACACCAGCGCAGCCGAGCTCAAGGGGGAGCCTGATGTCAGCTCTGCACCCATGGACTGTGCAGCCAGCAGTGACATGGCACCCATGGACTGTGCAGCCAGTGGTGACATGGAACCAGCTGATGGCACAGCAACCTCGGACATGGCAGTGACCAGTGTCACAGAAACCACCGACATGGCAGCCATTGATTGTGGAGCCAACTGTGTCAGAGAAGATCTTGATGACACAGACAGCTCTGATGTGGCAGAGATTGAGGGCGCAGCAACCACCGACACAGCGCCTATGGATAACACCTCAGCCACCTCTGACATGGCACCAGTCGATGGCACAGCCACCTGTGACACCGCGCTGGCCGACACCGAGACAAGCTCTGACACCGCTCCAACTGATGTCAGGGCAGAGGCTGACGCCACGACTGAGGGCATTGGAAACACTGACTGCACAGCCATGCAGAGTGTGACTGATGCTCCCAGTCTGGACGTTTTGGAGCAGAACGGTGTCCCCAGCGCAGATGAAGTAAGCACCCTGTGGCCAGGGCTTGAGCCCTCCAGGGTTCTTGTGGTCCCTCAAGCCAGCTCTGCTGGGCCCCCTGAGCCATTGAGGGAAACCTGCTGGCTCTGGCAGCTCTCCAAGTGTCCCCCTCTCCCCTCCAGGTGCAGATCCTGGCAAGGCACCTGCAGAGCCAGTGCCCAGAGAGGCGGCGCCTGGCTCTGCGAGAGCTGCTGGTGCTCAGCGTGGATCCCTCCATGGTGAGAAGGGGGCAGGGGCTGAAGCCACACGGGCAGCCTGGGGCTGGGCAAGGCAGTTGGGGTTGCAGTGCCAGGGGGGTGGTGGTGGGGCAGCTGTTCAGGGCTTCACAGCACAGCCTTGTGTTCCACACAGGCCAAAAGCATCTGCAGCCTATCTGAGCGCCTCCTGGAGCTGCTGCGTGATGGAGATGGAGAGCTGGTCAGGATGACCCTCTCCATTTTCCGGAATGTGCTCCAGGATGAGGAAGGCAGGGAAGGATTCAGCCCCACTGCCCCGAGGCTGGCTGAGGCGCTCCGGCCAGTCTTTGACCACGTAAGGCTCTGTGCCCCCAGCCACAGGCACTGGGTGCTGCCAGGAAACTTGGGGGAGATTCAGGCCAGGGCCTGGTGGTCCTGGAGCAGGCAGTGCTGAGGTCTTTGTCTCTTCTTTGGCCCCAGGACAACAGCCACGTGCAGCTGCTCTCCATTCGCCTCTTCCGAGAGGTGATGGAGTTGGAGGCGGAAGAGGGAACGCGGCTCTGGGAGATGCAGGTGCGCCAGAGCCTGGTCCCCCTGTTCTTCCGCTGGCA